GCAAGTCTTTGATGGCTGCATAGTAAGCTTTTATTAGTGAAATTGACTAGGTTTCAAACAAATCTCATCCTCCCCTCCCCTTTCTTCTCCTCTCCTCTCCTCTGATTATTTCATCAATTTTGGTTTACCACACCTCTTCCTCTTCCCTCTTCTAATGCACACAAAATCAGTTTTATTAACTGAGGAGATAGCAAAATGTAATTTCCAAATGGATTTCCTCTGCTTAAAAATGCCTGTCACAGTGGAATTTTCCCTCCTTATTTCTGCAATATAGTGTGGCTAATTTCAGCCTGGCTAGAAATCCAAGTTCTCCGATTTGTTTAGGAAAACGGTGTTAGGGAACTTTTCGAAAGTGTTTCCACTTTGGTAGCACAATAAGTTTAAAAATGAAATACATCTTTCTTGATAAAACTAGGTTTCAACTGTGCTATTACAGGGAAAAGCATAGCAGTAACCAAGATGATTTCTCTTACTGCACAGATCTACCATCACCTGACATTTCCTTTTCATCTTGGAAGATAATTGACTGGTTATGAAGATGTATTTCACTGTTAAACACAGTGGAAAATGTCAAAGGCTTATAAAATGAAAGTCTAGAAATTATGTAAATATTATCATTGACCATCTTCATCATACTCCAGTGAGTCATGTTATGCTTGGGATGAATTAAAGATTTTTGCATAACTCAGAAATACATAGTACATGATGCACTTAATTTATTGGGGTGTTTTGAGATTATGAGCTGACTTAAAGGTCTGACTGCTCTTCAAGGACACTGAGTCAGACCAGCAAAGGGATGAGCACACTTGCTGTGTTATGCTGCGTGGTGTGATTCTGCCATTGGGGAGGACACTGGATGTGCTGAACATAAGCTTCTCTGTGCCCTGAGAATCTCAGGGTGCTGCACAGGGCTGGTAGTGTTGCAACAGGTCACCTGGGGCCAGAGGGGGCTGTGGCTTGACAAAACCTGTCTTAGAAGGAATAAGACTAAACTAAACCTCTAAATTATGAATAGGCAGTGGAAGAGAGAGGCAGTGCTGCAGTCTGGTACACACCTGCCAGGCTTCATTCCCATGACCTGCGAAAGGCTGGCTGGGGGAAGCTTTCTGAGGGCTGTAGCAGTTGTGTTTGCCTGTTACTTGCCTCACTTGATGTCAGATCCATCTCCACCATTCAAACATCCACCCTTTGGGGCATCATCTGGGGATTTGTGTGGAAGTCTAGGCTGGGTTATTACAAAACAGAACCATAGCACCTCTGTGCTCTGGCACTAAATGCTCATTTCGGGGTCCTGAAAGACCTGTAACGCCACCACTGCCTCTTAAGACAGAGAAGAGCTCATTAATGAGCTACAGGAGAGACTGAACTATAAAGAGACAAAGCAGCGATGATACACAACTGCTTAGATTGGTCAAAGCAGTGTCTGAGAAGGATGAAAGGGAAAAACACCCACTGCCAACAAGTGCCGAGCTAACAGAGGACGGAAGAGTGTGAAATGCTCAAAGGCAATGCTGGGTTTGACACAGGCTGTTATGAATTGGACACTGTTGGAAGCTACCTAGAGACTCTGGAAAACAGAGTCTGATGGTGTATATAAAAATGGAGGGAGAAAATACATCTTACCTGGACTATCATGGCCATTTCTATGTATTTACCTACAGAGTGATGTAACGGGAGCAATTAATCACAGCTAAGACAGAAGACAAAATAACTGAAAGAGGAACATGCACAAGAGGGATACAGCATACTGAGAAGTGTAGAAAAGTCATGACTGAGCCTTTTTAGAAAGATGTAAGAGCAGAAGACTAACTTGAAATACAGCAAGAGGAAAATTTTTTATTGAACATATCATTGATGTGTATAACTCAGCACCAAAGTAATTGGAAAAATAAACATTTTGTATGTATGTTTTCACTTTTGTGATAATCTTCAGAATTACATCAGAACTGATAAAGACATTTTCGATATTTCTGTAAGCATATAATAGTAGAAACCCTCCAAGCCATAAGAGACTTTTAAGGAAAAAATCCCCACATGTGAACAGAACTGAAACTCAACTGTCAACATCTTGTGAGTTTTACTCTTTATGTAATCAAGCCAGCATGGTCTATCTCAAGACATTGAGCTAGATGAACCAATACATTGATCTTATTTCATTTGGCAAATTCTGCTGGTCTTCGATGCATTATTTTCCTTTTTTTTTTTTTTTTTTTTTTTTTTTTTTTTTTGTTTTGATATCCTTTATCTCTAGTGTCACTGAGAGTAGCAGTGCTTGGCCAGGTTTATCTGAGAGTTTGATTTTTCAGTGGGCACTGCTTTTAAATGGATGATTGTTTTCTGATATTTTCATTATACAGTATGAAAATATAGCATTCAATAAATCTTGTTTTCTTCATAATCAGTAATGCAGTTATCAGACAGACTGCATTGATGATTTAATTCTAGTCACCCATAGCAAGTGCCCTTGATAGAATAAAAAAATACCTTCATAAGCAGTGCCCTTTTGGTGAGCATCCTTTTCTCATAACAAAAATAATACCTTAGGATTGTGACTGTAATGTTCCTGATCATGGTGTTTTCCACTGAAAAAGGCAAATGGGCACACACACCTCCCCGAAGAGGACACAGTACAAAGTACTAATAGATGCAGGAGCAGAGATGGGGAAGTAATAGAGCACAAGTGTCTGAAAGCAGACAATGGAGTATCTTGGGCATTAGATCTGTAATTTCCTCTCTTTTAAAGTGTATCTGTGTTGGTTTGGGGTGTTTTAATGACTTTTGTACAGTAATAACTAAGATTATAGGCCATTTTTTGGACACTTAAAATTGTCAAGAAAAGTTACATAAAAGCAGTTGCAAACTGGGAAAAAATAGGAATTGCCGTAGCCTGAGATACGTAAAGGTAGCAGAGACAGTAGGAGAAATGGTTAGTTCTTGAAGGACTGGCATTGTCACAAATGCTGTTCCTTGTAGAACTGTGTTGGGCTTGTGCTGTTGGACTTATTCCTAAATGACCTGGAAGAGGGAAGCAACTAAGTTTACTAAATACACAACATTAATTAAGGCAGTAAGGATGATGGAAGAGCCCCATGGCAGCTGGGCAGTAAAGTGTCACACAAAAATGAGTGTGGATAAAATCGTGCTTAGTCATAGTTTCAAACATTAAGTGATGGGATATGCCCTGGTGGATGTAAGATGCAAGACTTCTGATAGACAGGGCTAAGAAAGCGTCAGCTTGGCAGTAGTCAGAAATGGCAGTCAAACCTTCAGCATTATTAGGCACAGTAGAACACTTCTCTGCAATTTCATAAATCTGATTGAACTGCTCTGTGCAGTTCTGATCCTCTTATCTCAAAGCAGATAAAGCAAACAGAAGGTGAGCAGGAAAAAAAGCTGTTAATTAATACAGTTTACCAGGACTCAAAAGACTGAGCTTGGGTAAATTATTCATAATGTCATTAAAATTCAAGTACAACTGAAATTTCCTGTTGGGTTAGCTAACACAGAGAAATTACACCTCATGTGTTTCTTCTACAAGACTTTGAACTTTGTAGTGATAAGACATTTTGCCTGTCTCTCATTGTCTGGAATTGTCTTTATGCATCTTAAGAAAAGGAAACGTTATTTTTATTTACTCCTCTAGAAAACTTAAAAAGAAATTATTCTATTATTGAACATCAAAGTAGAGAAGAAATCTCTTTTATTCATATAAAACTTGAAGGGACTTGCAGAACAGCCAGTTTCACAGGAGAACAGGCGGAGAGTTCCCAGGAGGCCTCATGGAATGTCTGCCCAGTCTAGTGCTGCACTGGGCAGACTGGGGTGGTGCAGGGTGCAGTTCAGAAATCAGAAGCAGCATAACGCTGAATTCACTGTGTGTTCTGCCTGAACTGCTCAAGATAGCTAGTTGCAGTAGCTCTGGAAAATACCTTGCTGTACAGCAGTAATATAACCCAAATAAGCTGGCTGATCTGGGGCTGCAGAACTGGTAGGGCCTTCTGCACTTGCTTGGTTTGATATCAGTGTAAAGGCTGCCCAGACTAAATTTCAAGAGATTTCCTTTTCTTAGCGGCAGTGAAAACAAAATACTCTTTTTTTTCTTCTTTTTTTTTTTCTTCCCCCCCCCCCCCCCCCTCCCCTTTCTTAGTTGGCAAACAGAAGAAAGCATTCCTGGATTTACTGTTCCCTCTGTGATGATGACTTGCATTTAGAGCCAAATGCTGTCTGTCAGAGTGTGCTTTGGCAGCATAGCCACTTGCACTGGGTACAATTGCACAGGTTTGTGACACTGGGATTGCTGGCTGTCATCAGCCCCTACCCTACCCCCTACCCCCCCTACCAGGGGATCTGTTCCTGTACTCTGAACGCAGCACTAGCCATCCACCTGATGGTGAGGCAAAAATCGAGCCACAGGGGCTAGATCCATAGAGTTTTGCTGTGAAAAATGTTTGTTCTACTTTTAGATACCTTTTGATGATTTATAATCTGTGGAGGCATGGAATTAGATAGCTTTGAATGTTGATTATAGTACTTCTATGTAATTTAATTGATTTTCACAGTAGATGTTTGAGTGTGTTACTACTGTAGGTGCAGGAACATTTTTCTGAAGTATGTATGATTCCAGTTTACAAGGTGGGTAGAAAAGTTACATCCCTTGGTAAAACTAAATTAAAAGTTCATGAAAACCCAGAATCAAATACCAATTTTCTGGCATAAGCTTCTACTCCTGACTAGGCCTTTCTTCCTTCTCTGAAACAAGCATTTATACAATGATCTTCACAATTTCAAAATATAAAAATATTTGAGTTTACTTGCTCGTGGCTAGTATTGAGTTTTGTCTGCCTGCTTAGAACAGACATTTGAACAGCACTTGTCAAGAACAGCAGAATTCAGAATTACTGGTACTGCAGCTTATTCTTCTTTCTCAATACAGCTGATATCAGACTGGCATCCGAGCTCCTGACTTTGACTCAACCCATGCCTGCTGTGCTTTGTTGCAGGTTATGGACACACAGTGCCTTTATCTGATGGGGGAAAGGCCTTCTGTATCATCTACTCGGTCATCGGGATCCCGTTCACGCTGCTGTTCCTGACGGCCGTGGTGCAGCGCATCATTGTGTACGTCACCAGGCGCCCGGTTCTCTACTTCCACATCCGCTGGGGCTTCTCCAAGCAGGTTGTTGCAATCATCCATGCGATGGTCCTCGGCTTCATCACTGTCTCCTGCTTCTTCTTAATCCCAGCAGCAATATTTTCCGTTCTGGAAGATGACTGGAATTTTTTGGAGTCTTTTTATTTTTGTTTCATTTCCCTTAGCACCATTGGCCTTGGAGACTATGTGCCAGGAGAAGGCTACAATCAAAAATTCCGAGAGCTGTATAAAATTGGGATTACATGTAAGTGTCAAACTAACTAGCTAAGTAAAAGGCATTTTATATTTACAAAAAAAAAAATCAACATCAAACTGACAATCAGACTTCTCCTCTCCATTCTGTGAATAATGATCATTTGTCAGCTAGCAAACTGGCCATTAATTTAGGTAGCTCTGGAAAGAGGGAACTGTTAAGTAAGGCCAGTTTTCTTAGTTAAGGAAGAAAAAGCTAAAACTAGAATTCCATTATTCTAACCACAGATATTTTGTCTCTTATTAATAGTGGAAAAAAAAACCCTCATGTAACTGTTCTGAAAATGGTTAAGAGCATCTTGGGCTAACATTTCAGTGCATCGCAGAGCCAAGATGATCCGTGTAACCTCAAGCCATCCCATAAGGTTAGATGACAGCTGGACAGAAATTAATCAAGAAGCCCTGGAAAACGAGGCAGAATAGCAAAGTTTCTGACTCCAGTTGTAACAGAAGGTAGCTGAAGCTGACACTGGTACATACCAGCTGTCAAAGACCGACAAGTCAACTGAGATGGTAGAAAAGGAAGACCATGAACGCTAAATTTAAATTGTTTCATTATATTTGACACAGCAGAAATAATAGTTTTCAGTGATTTTAAGAAAGTGAAGATTTTAAGAAGAAAATTACCTTTATTTTGGTATTCTGAGTAAATGTATGCTGAGGGCAATATTTTCCAGCAGCAGCGTTTTGAAACATGGCAGTTTCTCATACAGCTACAACTTGAACAGTCTTTGTGTCATCAGCAGCATCAGTTAAAAGATCTAAACACCCAAAGCAAACCTTTCTGTCAGGTTCATTGCTTAGGCTGGTCTGCATTCGACTATGCTTCTGTGCATGATCCAGCAGTCATAATGTAGGTAGAGAATGTGTTAACTTGGTTTTGTGTTTTACCTGAAGAGAAGTTGTTTCATTCTTTGAAGCAGCACCTTGAACTAGCCAATAGAACACTTTGTGTTATTATCCTACCAGGCCTGTTGCTGTTGCAGATTTTCTTCTCTCCCTGTCATGTTTATCTTATGAATGGTAGCTTTTAATTATTAACCTGCTGATCTGCAGAGTTGATTTGGGGATGCTAAGTGGTGAAGTGAATGGAAAGTCATGCATGGCAAAGGCTTGTTACAGGCTTGCTGTTCTGAAAACTCAAAATCTGAAGAAAACATTATGGTTCAGATTAAAGCTTTTTCAAGCTGTACAACAATTAGGAAGTAAATTGCAGGAAATACTAAAGAAAATACTAAAAGGAAAAAGCTTTTAGGCAAAGTTACGACCTTACAATATCTAATTTCAATAGATATTAAGGTTATAACTTTTAAATTATTATTTTTCCTTTCATGTGAGCAATTCAAGGAACCAAATAAAATGTTTTCTCCTGAGCCTAAATTTTCTGTAAGGTAATTTGGACTTTTACATCAGAAAATGCTTAATGAGTACTACAGGCTTTTCAAGAATTTTTAGAAGAACACAAGTCCTGTTCTAAATCAAGTAGCAATCAACTGGACTGAGTTTCAGGATTAATGACAAATTCTCAGTGCAGATTTACAGATGCTTTTCAATTGATACAGCTTTGTCACTTCTTCCTTATGTTAATGCATAGCTCTCATTCAATGCTATGATATAAATTTTAAAAACAATTCATAAATTTTAGCTGTACTGCTGATTTAGATGAGTATTCAGTATTAAAAAATTGATTAATGGTACTCCTGGAAGGAAAAGGAGTGTTCCTGCCAGTGAACAATCTGTAACTACAGGTGAGATATTTATGCCTTTAGGTAACAGAACAGTGACCATATGGAAATTGTAATCATTAATCTGTGTTGATTTTTCAGCACACTTAATGTGCAGCTCTTGGACAAGTGCATTCTGCTAATGGTTATGTGCCGCTTCTCTTTCCCCGGCTAGCTGATGTTAAGAGTGGGGGGCGGCAGTTTTTCCCCCTCGGGCTCCGTGGAATCCCAGTTGTCAGTTGTTTCGGCGCAGTATAAAACACAGGCAGCGCACACGGGTCCCATGGAAACTTTATTTGATGACAAATTTCCCCTTTCTCTTCCTGGGCCCCGATTAAGGGGCCAACAAAGACTTATATCTCAGGGGAAAGTCAGGGGCAGACCCAACTTCCAACAAATTAGGAGACTTGGGAGTAAAAACCTAGGCGGAGAATAACAGTAGTGAACCAATAAACTTCCAAGGAAGAAAAACAGTTTTAGGAAATGGGTAAAGTTTGGAGAAATAGAAACTAGAAACTAGCTGACGACATCTCTGTGAAAAGGGTGGAGACAAAAGGAAAACAGCACCAAGGAAAACCACTAAATCACAAATCAAACCATAAACCTACTTATAAAACAAAAAGCACGATACAACAGTTATGCACTTAGCTTCTGCTTCATTTACTTCATTGAAATGATAAAATAAATAAGTAGTCATGCTCCTTATTGAATTGTAATGATCAGAAGTAGGGATCTAATGAAACACTGAGATTAATAAGTATTCATTTAAATATTTTCCTTTAAACTGTACGCATTTATGTTTGGAGAATATATATTAAAAAAAGAGCACAGCGTACTGCTGGTCATAGAGATCTCCATTTCCAAAAGTCTCAGTCTGTGAGAGCTGACTATTACCTCTAAAAAGAAGTCAGTCAGTACATGGCTAAAATAATTTGTAATACATTTTATATAAGACTTCCAGGTTTTTGATAATCCATTTACCTTAGTAAAACATTGCAATTGCACCCAAAAGATGCAGTAACTGTGTCAGGTTTTTCAAATTCCAGGAATAATTTTACAATAATTTTTCATTTTGGTTTTATTTGGTTTGTACATGTTCCTAGTTGCTTTGTTTATCCAGGTATTTCAGGGTGTTGTATGTCTATTAATTTTAGAGGAAAATAATTCCGAAGTTTTCACGAAGTAGTATGTGATTTATCCTGCTAAACTGCTACAAATAACCAGTGACCATAATTAGCTCCCATATTTTTATTTCTGCTTTTGATATATAGGATATTGTGGTAAAAGTTTGTTTTCCATCTTTTGATCAAAATCTTTTGAAGGGCACTTAATCATGAAAGTCATAAGTAAGTAGGGGAGTGTGCATGTGGTAAACTTTTAATATTATGTTTTTTTTAACGCCTTTACATGTTTTTTTTTCTTGCGCAGTGGTAACAGATTTGAAGCCACTGGTATTACTTTTTCTGTTTATGTGGGGTCTTCTAGTTGTAGAATTAATAAAGGAAAAAAACCACACGGATATCACAGTTCAAAGCTCTGAAATTATGCCATAAAGAAAACTAACATACTGGTCAGAGGTGACAGGGGTGAGAAAAGTCACAAGCTCGAAACTGGTCCAGCCCTACCTGGTCTGCTAATAATTAATTTTTTTTCTTTTTATTTTTTTCACTCAGGTTATCTGTTGATGGGCCTTATCGCAATGTTGGTGGTTCTTGAGACTTTCTGTGAACTCCATGAACTCAAAAAGTTTAGGAAGTTGTTTTATGTGAAGAAGGACAAGGAAGAGGACCAAGTCCATATAATGGAACATGACCAGCTCTCCTTCTCTTCCATCTCAGACCAAGCAGCCTCCATGAAGGACGATCAGAAGGCAAACGAGCCTTTTGTGAATTCCCAGTCCCCAACTTCCAACGACAGCTCTCTAAACAATTAATACACGGGTATCCATACCAGTGTTCTGGTGCATTTATGCTACTTACCATAAAAAATAGAAAGCCTCATATTTTTTTCTCAAATTATAAAAGCTGGAAGACTGTGCTACTTTAACAAGAATTCATCACTTCTGACATAGAAAAGACTTGAGAAAAATGTGGGAGCCACCCTGGGAAGAGGGAATAAATATAAGATGTGGCTGGGAACATTAGGCCATTCTGGTTGAGGGATAAGGATTTAGGTGTACCGCATTCGGAGATGCCAGAGAGGAACGCTTGCACAAGCAGCTTCATTGAACATCTTTGAGAGACTAGGCCTTCACTGACATCCAGCTCATTGAGTTGCATGCCCCATCTTGCAACTGGGGGCATGCAACTCAATGAGCAACTGGTTGACAGCAGATTTTGGGATGTGCACATTTGATAGTCACAGTTTTAATTCAATAGATAGCATCTTAATCTGGAAAATATTTTCAGAGCAGTATCTCTAGATCTGGTGGAGGGGGGAATATCTAGGTCATCCCTCTATTACCCAGTAACTTGCAGGTGTAAACAATTACTCTAGGAAGGAAAAAATAAGACTGCAATCCCTCCTTTGCCCATGCCATTTACATCTTAATTTCCTACTTCCTTAAAAGGTCCTCCAATCACCAGAAAAATGTTGTCCTGAAGAGAATGTGCCTTGGGTCTTCTGTGCTGTTTGCTTTTTGTATGAAATATTTTACTGAGAGACAGTAAAAGCAATGCAAAGCTCTGGATGAGGTGAGATGGTAGGGATGATAGATGCATTTTAGTCTTCTGAAATGGGCAGGAGTGGGTATTTAGCTGCATGGAATGGAATGAAAACAAGTCATCATATACCACACATGACTGGCACAGTCATGTGCTTGTGGCATTCTCCTAATAGATGGTTGAAATCTGCTCAGTAGAAGGACTCAGTGCTCTTCCTCCCACAGTCCAGCCCAGCATGTGCTCTGCTGAGCTGGTGGGTACATGGAGAAACAGAAACAGCATCACCTTTGAACATAGCTCCTATTTCTTCTCTTGCTTTTCTAGCTGGTACTTGGAACACTTCAGAGGAGAAGGGAATGTTTCAGGGCAAAACAGTTTTTCAGTTTTTCGTATGGCAAGAAAAAAGGAAAAATGTCACATTTGGTTCAGATGGAACCGAATTTTTTTCCCCTTGGGAAAAGTCACTAAAAAGTCAAGATCTTGCTCAACTTCTGAAGCTGGAACCTCTTTGGCTGTAACAGCAGAGGTATTTTAGTCCAGCTGCCAGTCACTGTGCTGAATGCAGGGACCTCAGAATGAACTTCAGTGAGCATGAGACAAGATTTAAGTGGTTGTAGTATTTGCTCTTCTGGCCTTAAGAATCTTATGATAGGGGAATCTTGATAATGCTTTGCAATGAACAAAAGTTCTGGAGCACAAATAGCCATAATAGGACAGCCTCCCACATAGGAACAGTGTAGAGAAGAGTCTTTTACCTGCAGTGCAAGCATGCCAGATTGCCTGTAATTTGGCTTTTAGTATTTAGAGCTGAATAATAATTCACTGTAAAAGAAAACAAATGCAGCGTGTCTAGATTTAGCGCACGTGGGAAAAATGCTTGAAAGTAAATAACCCAAAATATACTGTGTTTGAGCTTAATTATAGCTAGCATCAAACAATTTTTTATATCTTTACTGGAAAAACTTACTTTATGGTTAAATCAGCTGAAAGTCTTCAATTGAAATTTATATTTGTAGAAAATCAGAGCTAAAGGTTTTGGTTGTTTTGAGTTTTATAGATTAGGTGAGAGCATATTGTGTTTGCATGTTCCCAGGAAAGTGGCTATTTTTCTACTGCTTAGGTTAACACAGTTCTATTTATAATGAATGTTAACCAATATATATGTACAAATATACATAAATATATTTATATACTGTACATATATCATAAATCACCAGAGTCTAACAGACTTAGGAAAGGCATTTTAGATAATTTTCCCCCTAGTCTCCTCTTTATACAGTCAATATTTGAAAACTATGGCATTAAAATGACACTGATATAAAATTATGAGTACTGTACTATAAGAAACATTTATACTGTTTCTTTCCGTGGAACTTTCTTGATTGTTTTCAGTATCTTAAAATTCAAAATTTCTTTTAATTTCCGTGTAATATTAAGCTCTAAAGGATATGCACAAATGTTAAATTATATACAAAGTTACTTTTGCAGCGTGTACACAAATGCAAAATGTAGACACGTGAAATGAAAGCACAGGATTCAAAGCAGAAGCGATAAACTAAGCAGTATACTGTGATTGTAGGTGAATATTTGTTATTTTAAACTTAAATAAAAAGTCTGGCTTTTGCCTGCCTGCACTATGAAGTGGGAGTATTTTCTTTAGTGACATGTGAACTCCTGTCTGTGTCTGTGCATCCTTTAGTTAGCCTTCTTCAGCTCAAGGAGGCTCTATTAGTGCCAGTGTTGTACCTAACCTTGTTATTAATTGTGGCTTAGTGTGTGCTGGTTATTCCTTTAAAAAAAAAAAGAAAAAAGAGCAGTCTAAGGTATGTTTGGTTTTGTTTCACATGCTGACTGATTATAGCAAATAAAAAATAGTGACATAGCATTTATCCTGTCCTTATGAAACAACTGCTCCAATATTTGAGAAATCTGAAAAACTGCTGAAAATAATGGCCCTCATTTCATATAGCTTTTACATCTTCACATGAAGCCAGCATATATAATGAGTTGAAACTGGAATCCACATCTGAAGGAGAAAGATTATCATGCAAGAACCTCAGTATGAAGTGCGTCCCATACCTAGAGGCAAACTGTGAAGCAGGTGCATGTAAACCCAGATGGAGAGCATGGCTCATAAAGCAACGGTGCTCAAAAAAGTCACGAGAAATTTAGAAATGCAAGTAAATTACTTGCACACATAAAAGAATTGCCTGGGTTCTGTCCCCACTTGCTTGTTGTCAATTGTTCCAGGCATATGTTCCAGGCATATATCCCATTAATAACTTTATTCCTGTGCTACAGCTGACATTTACCATCTTCTTGTTGTCTGTCAGTCATTAAATATAAGTTTGTTTTGTTGTTATTTCAAGGGAAAGGACCAGCAGGGTACTCATTGTGTTGGAGAAAAGAAAATGGAAAAACCCACTCGAGTTTTGATTTTGGAGCTGAGTAACAGCCATGTTGTCCCTTAATGAATGTATTCTCTTCCCAAAGTTTCTTCCCAGGGTCCACCGGTGGCACTTTGTGTGGGTGCTGAAGACTTGCTGGAGGTTGAAATTAGTTACTTTCTAAGTAGGTAACTCCAGGGATGGGGGCGGTTTGCAGCTTTAATGTCAGCGCTGCAAAACCTCCCTAGCTGGGTGCTTATGTCAGAGGAGTTGCATAAGACCAGCAGTTCTGGATTGCATTAAATATTTGTCTAGCCCAGTGTTTGGTCTCTGGCAATGGTCAGGAGCAAGATGTAAACTTGTGTAAGGAAGGGGCAAGTCTGTAGCAACCAGTCCCCAGGATGTTCCCACTCCCACCAATGTGCAGCTCTGGATCCATGACAGTATCTAGGAGGGATGGGAAGGCAATGTGGTTGTGGTGTGTGGAAGAGATTCTACACTGAGGTGCCTGCTCTCTGCTTTGGTCAGTGAGAGATTGTCCTGTACAGGATCAAATGGAGATTTCCCACAAAGCTGTTCCAAGTTAGCTGCTTTGCAGTTAGCAGGTAACTTGCATAGAATGGGCTCTTGAAAATAGGAAGGATGGGAAAAAGGGGAAAGGGGAAAGCAGTGCTGTTACTTGGGCAGTGCTGTCCTCTAGGTAGATAGGAATTTGCACAGAACCTGTTTGCTAATGCCAAATCTTGAATTTCCACGTTAGAATTTGCTTTGTAAACAGTTGCCACAAATGTAGTGAGGTGAACCATAAGTTGCTAAAAATACCACTGCCCTAACATTATTCCATTATTCATTCTTCTAGATTCTGCTTTCTACTGAAGCACAATAAAGTTACTCTAACAGGAAGCAGTGTTATTCCAAGTGTACGCCAGTACAAGAGAATGGGGTTTCTCTTCTCTGTGCCATCAGTATTGCAACATATATCAAAAAGCTTCTGGAGAGACAAAAAATTTCTTGTTGCTTGTTTTGAACAGAAACCATATTTTTGAGATTCTGGACACTGCTTCTGCAAAGCTACATCTTGCTTAATGCAGATTAGGTACTGGGTGTAAGTAGTTTTAATGCCTACCTTGTCAGTCTCATTGCTTCCTAAGTTACCATTCTATTTACTTTTTATCACGAAGTTCTTATCACAATTATCTTGAAAGTTGATCATGTTACCACTGAGTGTGAGGACTGTGATGCAGTTATTTTGCTGGTGATGGTGCAGGTTTGCCATTGCCTTAGCTGATAACAAGACGATCTCCCTCATGGCAGTTGGGGCCAAATGACAGATTTAGGTAATGAGGAGGGACAGCGTGGCTGGGAGCAGGTGCACGGGCTGACAGCCAATGTCAGGGAGAAATCATCCTGGCAAACTGCTAAGTGACCACACAGTTTTTGCTGGGCTTCGTTGTCACTAGGAGTTAGAGGAAGGAAGAGCAAGGATATTGCCAAAAGTCATCTGAAATGAAGTTTAATGGAAGTTAAGTTTTTCACCATTTATCTACATTTATCTGCAGCTCTCTTGTTACTTCAGTTGCACCATATATTCGATGCATCAGGATAATGGTTTGGCATTTCCACAGTGTAGATGGCTCCTGTGGCCCCTGAGGCAAGTTGTGCTTGTTATCCTAACAAGCTTTTTCTGTCTTAAGTTTACTTGGAGTTCAGACCCCTGAGCAGGAGTGTAGGTCATTGTCACTGCTGAAGCTTTCCAAGGGCAAAAGTGGCTCAAGGCACTGCCTGGCCTTGGGTCAGCCTTTAATTTTAGTGCCTAGCCTGTCTGGAAAGACAGGAATGAACTCTCTACCTTAAAAAGAGAGAAACCCACTCTTCCTCAAGCTTCAAAACTCCTCAAATCCATTTGTTGTTATCCCAGGGGTTTCATAGTCTTGTGTGTACAGTACATATGTGCAAGTATCTGGAGTAGCACATAGAACTGCCACTTCTTTATGCCTGATTTTTTTTGAGTCCCCCTTAACCTTCTGAATTTCTCCTCTCCATTCAGGAAGATGGCTCACAGCATTCTCTGACTGTCCTTAAGCTCTCACTAGTACCTAGCTGGGCCATCTCAGTAGTGGCAAGGTGAGATTCAGAGAGTAGAAAGGGACTTCATCATCTGCCCTAATGATGGGGACCAGGTGAGGGGACAGGAAGGCCCCATCTCCACGCATTAGCATTAGCTGCAGCTGCCACTTTATTTCTAAAACTATTTCCAATGTCTGGCACAAAAAGACTGTGTGATTCACTCATCTGTGCTGTGCATGTCAGCCAGTGCTTGTGCTAATGGTAACATAATGACATAAAAACTAATAGTTCATCTAGAAGAATTAAATTGGTTTATTTTTATTTTTGAGTGTATTACTGCTTTACTTATGAGCA